GTCCCTCTCCACCGACCCTCGGGCCCTTCCCACGGGTCATCATTTCCTGCAGACCTGGATATAGGGCTGAGAGACGACCTCGACTCGGGCTCCTTCCGTTCTCTGCCCTAGACCACCCCCACGCTAGAAATTCCAGGCAACACCTTCATTGACACCAACCTGCACAATTCCGGCCACTGGACTCCTGCTTCCTCCGGCCTCCGGCACCGCAGCCCGCACTACCGAAGGAAGCTGGTACCCAGGCGGGAACAAGGACCAGACTAGCAGGACTTCTGCACACGTCGACTCCTGGTCACATGAGATCTACGTCACCAGTGAGCTCGGGTCCCCAATTTCCACTCCCACCAAAAGCGCGGCAGAAGTGGGCCCGCCCTCTACTCCCTCCCTCACCCGCCTTGTGCATTTGTCCCTGTCCGTCTTTTTTGTTGTCACCGATCCCTGGGGGTGGGGTGGGGAGGGGGGATGTTATTTGCCGTTCACTGATTCCTGGAGAGGAGCTGCATCTTTTTTTCTGGAGCCACGGAACTTTTCTACTTTTTTCAAGAATTGTTTCTCTTTCCTTCCTGCCTTCCGCTCCCAGGAACACTAACGCCTCCATCCATGGTCCCTCCTCCAGTCTCCATTTCATCTGCAATCTGGTCCTTCGCTGTTGTGGAGCAGGGTAGGCTGGGAAGCGGTTGTGGGGAAAAGCAAAACAAAACAGGACTGAGATTTAAAAATGCAACTTGTACTTTCTACTTCTTTTTTTTTTCATTTCTATTTTTATTTTTGCCACAAGGTGCGTGGGCTCGCTGGGGGGAGAGAGAGAGAGAGAAAGTGAGAAATTGCCCCCCAGGGGGTATGGGGTACGCTATCCCTTCTCCATTCTTTTCAACAGCCTGCTCTCCAAGCTGCTGGTTCTGGGGCTCAAACCCCTAAGCCTGCCATGTGGTGCTCAGCGCCACAACCACAGTGTACTTTATTCTTAATACTTCCATATTCTTTTTTTTTTCCTTTTAAGTAACCTTTATCTTTTTACAGTCAGATAAAACAAAACAATACTTCTTTAATTACTTGAGTTAATACATGTACAGTGCTGGGCCAGCAGGTGGCCCCAAGGTTAAGGCAGCTGCATCTCACATGGCCAACATCTCTATGTAAATCTCCAGCACTGGCTTGAAGAACAGGCTAGGAGGCCCAGCAGGTGGTGGTGGTTAAGGGTGCTAGACTCCCACATGGCTGAACATGGTTCGAGTCCCAGACCTGGAGGCTTGCTTTCTCACTTTCCCTCTCTCCCTCTCTGTGTGTCTCTGTGTGCATCTCTCTCTGGAAATATTAAAATAATAATGATAAATAAAGTTAAATAAAATAATTATTAAAAAAAAAGAAAAACTGGCTGGGGATGTTGGTGTGGATATGTGTGAGTGCTCAAAATCCCAAGATTAGAAAGGAGGAGAAGGGATTGTGACATGGCCATCCTCCCTGAGAGGTGATTTCTCGCTTTCTGTCTCTGTCTCTCTCTCTCTCTCTAGTGAGCACACATGCCCTATACCAAAAAATCTGTCTCTGAAAAAAAACAGAAAAAAAAAAACTCAGAAAGACATCCGCAGCAGGGTCTCCACACCATTACCCACCTTCAGTTGCAGGGGGCCTAGATCACAGGTACACATGTGCATGATCAGAGGACTCAGGAAGGTTCCAGGATGTGAACCCAAAATCTTTCCCATGTAGGCCCAATTGCTTCACTACAGTGCTACCACCTGATCCCTGACTTTTAAAAAGTATTCACTAATTTGACAAGTGAGTAAGAGTACCTCAGATTTTCAGTTTGTACATTTTGACCTCTACTGAGAATGAATAAGGTTTTTTTTTTCTTTTAGAGAGATTTTTTACTCCAGAGCATGTGTGCTTGCTGAGGAGACAGAGAGACAGAAAGTGAGAAATCATCCTCTAGAGGGCTGGCCATGCACAATCCCTTCTCCATTCTCCTCTCGGGACTTTAGGCATACACACACATGCCTGGCATGGGTTTTAAGCCACCGAGTCCGGGACTCAAACCACGGTCAACTATGTGAGAGTCCAGTGATATAGCCATTATGCCATCTCCTGCTCTTGAGGCTGAATAACTTACACTTATTCTTTATGTATGTGTCTTTGTTGGGCAGCACCCTACTGATATGCTTTCATGAGTTTTCATGGCATTATAATCATGCCTATTTTGTTGATTTAGAAACATTTTATTACAGATAACCACAGTTTCAGATAGTCTTACTATTGATAGCTGTAAAGAATAGAGACTTAGGCCAGTTTAGTTGAGGCAGGATCCATGGTGTGGGTTTATGACGTACTAAAGATTATGATCTCAAAGGAATAAGAAGAGACAACACATTTCTGTTGATCAAGTGGGAGCTAAGGCCTGAGCATCGCAGTGTTCTGTCATTGGGCTCAATTGCTGTTTCAGTCTCTGTTCTCATCCTCTTCTCCTATCTCTTTTCTCTACCTCTCTACCTCATAGCTATGTCTTCCTTATAATTTCACCCTAATTCAGGGTTTCTCAGCCTCCTAAGGTACAGCCTTCTTCCTACAAAAGTGCTTATACTCCACTACTCCTAGATTTCTTTAAAATTCCAAGTGATCCAGTCTTCTCCAGTTGAAAACACCTGGTCTGATTTTATTAACATGGTTACTAGGTGAGAATTCTCTAGACACTGGCCTAAGCCTGGTTGAGGGGCCACAGGGGTGTGGGGCGGACTGGCAGACAGTGGCCCTATAGCAGGTCTAAGTTCTCCCTGAGTTTCTTGGAGGTAAGGAAGCCAGAGATGAGAGGTCTAGCAGGCTGCCTCCATCCAAGAGAACATAACTGAATCTGTTACTTATGAAAATTAAACACTTTTGGAAGGAGAAAAATAGGAAATAATTTTTCTAAAACAGAACAAAAATAAGACATTAGTTAGACTTTCCAGGGATTGTCCATAGATTATTATTCTCCAGCTGATATCTATGAACAGCCCCAAAGAAGGATGTTTGTGAACAATAAGCATATTTAAATTTTTTTATAGCTGGTGGGAAGCATTTTCTATTTGGAATATAGTAATTTAGCCAAATAATAAAGCATCCCAGTGAAAAGAGAAATTTTGGGAGAAATACCCATTTAATATTTTAAATATTTTAAATATTTAAGTGCTGTGTTCTGTAATGTGTGAAAGTTGCCAGACTCAAAATTGAGTCATTTGTGTCAACTCGTGTTACACCCTGACTAAATGGAGCTAAGGAAGGCCATGGAGGGAGTGGTTCTCACACAAGTACTCCTGATAACAAGAACAGCCATGAGGACAGCCAGAACCACAATACTGTACAAAGACCACTGCACCCTTATAAACAAAGCACTGCCCAGAAACTGCCTGCTCAACCAAAAATGATAGTGATGCCAACAGTGATACCAATAACAAGAACAGCATCAGTTCACTCTCACTGTTGATCCCAACACAGCTGATGTAATCCCCTTACCTGATTTTGATTTTGCCTTTAAAATCTGCCTATATATTGTAAGACTTTGGAAGGAGTATCCAAGGCTATTTGAATCTGTGTCCCCTGAGATTCTAACTCTTACAAACCCCAAACAAAACTCTTGTTTTACTAAAATTTATGCTCTGCTTCTTTCATTTAAAAAAAAAATGTAGTTTACTTATTTACTTTTTCCATGGAAGACAGAGGTGCCCCTAACAGGGTGTTTAGATCTAACTCTTCACTCCTAATCTTAGCTGGCCAGGTCATAGGTGTGTGCATGTCCTATGTGCTCAGGGACATCTTAGATAAGAACCCAGGACCTTGGCTATGTGAGTCCAGTTGCATTATGGCTCTACCGCTGCCTGCCCAAGCCCCATTTCTTTAAGGGTTAACAAATGTAAAAAGAAAGCATTTTAGGGCCAGCAAATGGTATGAAGGTTAAAGTGGCCGGATCTCACATGGCCAGCTAGCTGCATGGTTCAAGTCTCAGACCTGGCAGCTTAAAAAATCAGGCTGGGTGTGTGTGGGTTTGTGCCCAAAATCTCAAGAGGAGAGTAGAAGGGAAGGGATTGAGGCATGGCTAGTCCCCTGTGGGGTTATTTCTCACTTTCCCTCTCTGTCTCTGTCTCCCTCTGGCAAGTACACACATGCTATAGCAAGCAAAAGCAAACAAACAAAAAGAAAGAAAGCATTTTAAGTTGAAAGCTAAAACAGAACAGTACATAGAAGAATGTTAATGTTATACTTACACTCCTAGCTACCTTGCTGATGCCCAGCTTCCTGGCCATTTAGGTGCATGTAAGAGTCTTAGGGGGAAAACAATGAACTCAAGAGAGAAGGTCTGGAGTAGTAGATGGGTGGAAGGTTACAACAGGGAAGATAATTGATTACACAAGAATTATAAATTAACAATAACCCCCAGAGGGAAAAACGGTGCTTTTCCCTGAAGAGTAGAGAATGCCAGAATATTATGTCCAACCAACTGAAATGCCAAGGTGGCAGAAGAACCTCAGACCCAGGGTGAAGGAAGAGCAGAGAATATGTTGGTTACTGCTGTTCTGCTTGTGAGTGGGTGTGGTGATTAGGAGGGGCAGCTCGCCATAGGTGGGAATCACAAGATGGGAATGTACCCAAGTCTCTTTCCTTCTGACTTTTGAATCTTTTTACTGATTCCTGTTACCTACGGTGAAAAATTTCTAGTCAAGTAATGAGGAAAAAGCAATTATCCCAGAGCAGGTTATGTCTCTAGCAGCCTGGGGGGACCCTGGTTGGAGG